TCAATGGGATTATAAAATTGATATCCAATTGTTTTTCTTAGATATCCCACAATTATGAATTTATCGGATCGAAACTCTAGCTTATCCAATTTAATACGCTTCACATAAGCATCACAACCTTAAACTTTTATATGTGACAAGTTGGGTCTTCTGCCTTTCCATAACTCGTATAGAGCTTTGTCGACTGATTTATACGTGATAAGATTTAGTGTGTAGTATGTGACATTTAGTGCTAGACCCCAAAACGATTTTGGAAGGTTTGTATGGTTCATCATTAGTCACGCCATATTTGATAGTGTACAATTCCTCCTTTCAGATAGACCATTGTGTTGTAGTATATGTAACAGAGTCCATTATGAGAGAATTTCATTCTCCTTTATATAATCTAAAATATTCACCTTTAAGATATTCTTTATCTTGATCGGATCTTAGTATGAAAATACCCTTAACTAATTGTTTATCTATTTTTAGCTTGAATTCTTTAAACTTTTCAAATGTTTCATGCTTGAATTTCATCAAATATATATTACCATACCTAGAATGGTCACCAGTAAACGTGATGAAATAAGAGAAACCTCATTTAGCGTAATTAACATGGGTCCACATATATCAATATATAACAGACCCAATAATTGTGTAGGTTTTTCTCTTTTTCCGGTAAAAGAAGATTTGGTCATCTTGCCTAATAGATATAATTCACATTTATCAAATTATTCAAAATTAGTTGACCCCAAATATTCATCTCTATGTAATTTGGAAATGAGTTTTTATTTATTTGACCTAGTTTGCAATGCCGAAGATAGTTATAATATAGGTTATCATTTTTATGCCTTTTATTTTCTATACCCATTATAGAAGACCGATGTATATAATATAAATGTCATTTTGTAATTTATCACAACCATAATGTATCTTATCAATATAAAATGAACAACAATTGACCTTAATATTATTTGAAAAACAATTCATGTCCAAATATGAAATTAGAATAATGTTTTTGATAATTGTGGAACAAAATAATATTTCTTTCATTCTAATACTAAGCTTGAAAGAAATGGCAAGAAGTATGTTCCTACAGGTAATGTAGTTACACTAGTTCCATTTTCAACGCACATATCAACTTCTCCTTTATGCAGTAGTCTACTTCTCTTAATTTCAAAATATTTATACAAATATGAGATCTACATCCGATATCGAATACCCAAAAAGCTAATGAAGTTGGCATATAAACCTTCAGAAGACTTCTTCCAATGACCTTTCATTCCAAAATGATAGCAATGGTCATTAGACTTGATATTGTCTTGACTGCTTTCTGGTTTGTCTTAGCCTTCTTGGATGCTTTTCCAAAGCCGCCTTTAGACTTTCTCTTAGTGTCCTTAAAGGAAGTAATGACCAAGATTTGCCCACTACTAACTTTGATGTTGTGATCAACATTCTTAAACATGTTCAGCAATTCTGGGAGTGTGGACTCTAACTTATTCTTGTCAAAATTCATAATAAATTGTGAATAACTCTCTGACAGAGATTGTAGAACGAAGTCAACACTTTGTTTATGGTCTATCACTGAACCAAAGCTAATTTCTCGATGTAATCAATCATCTTTAGTACATGAGTATTGACCAAAGATCCTTCTGCCATTTTGCATTGGTATAATTGATTGGAAGTCTCATATGTTTTCAAACGTGATTGCTTATCATATAACTCTTAGAGATGAAAAATCCTAGCGTTAATATCCATATCCTCATATTCCTTTTGCAACTCAAGTGACATAGTTGCAAGCATTACACACATGTTGTAGTGTTATCGTATCATTTTGTTTATTATAATCAGCAACCTTTTCCTATGTAGAGTCCTCAATAGGTGTCTCTGGAAATGGATGGTCAAGGACATAAACAATTTTTTCATACTTGAGAACAATTCTCAGATTGCGATGCCGTTGAGAAAATTTGGCTCCTTCAGCTTGTTGGCATCCATTATGTCTCGCAAATTGTTATGGTTACTCATTATTCAAAATTGTAAATGAAGAAAAAAAATAATATACATACCCAAAAATGCATCAATGAATTTAATATGATCTTTTATTAAATTAATTATGATCTCACGTTTAACTTAAATGATTTAATATGCAAATGTCCCATCATAATTATTTATATATATTTATCATACATCAAACATGCAAATAAACTACATATAATAGTCTAGAAGATTATTGACTTATATATCTTGTCTTCTCGAAACAAAAGGGAGACTACTTGGTTAGTTCATAGGGAACATAACATTGAATCATACAATACTCTTTTTTTATGGTCTCCACCCTTCTTGCATCTTCAATTAATCCAACTGCAACTTGTATCCTATACTAATTGGTACACAAACTTAAAAGAATTGAACATGTAGACCAATAATGATAATAAGGGACTTGCAGACCCAAAATTGATAATGGGCTCGCATGCCCAAAACAACAAAAGTTAAAATCAATCATTCAACATATTCACATGGTAGAGTTTATAATCATCAAATAAGTATACATTCATCACATAAATATATTCCTATATAATATCTAATATTATATATAAATATATTTCAAATTCCTAGCAATTAAGGGGGTCTAAACTAATTTCGGCAAATGAATCAAATAATTAATCATATTAATCAATTAATTTAATTAGCGAATTTATTTAATTAAAATTAAATATCAAATTAGAGTCCAACTCCAATTCCAAAGTTTTCGAGCTAATTGAATTAACATTTTAATTTATGATAAAACTCCTAAACAAACTAAAATTTAATTTATGGTCAAAATTATAAACTTTAGTTAAAATTCAATCTTAACGATAATTTAAAAATTCGTAAATTTGAAATAAATTTTTAATTGGGTCAAAATAAAAATTATAGTCAAAATTGAAAATTTTGGTCAAACTCTTTTAAATATATAATATAAATCATTTTCAAAATTGTATTTAGAAGAAAAAATTGCATTCTAACCCAGTTTTAAAATTATAAATAGTGCCCCTAATTCTTCAAATTGCAAACATGCCCTTACTTTTAAAATTACAATATGATCCCCAGATCAAAATTGTAGGCAATGGCCCATAACTTCACAAATTGTAGGAGAGGCTCTCACCTCCAAATTAACCTAACCCTAAATTTTCTTTTCTCTCTCTTCTATAGTGCATAGGAACTAAAATAGTGGTGTACCTTTGCTGTCAAACAGTAGTGGTGCACTGCCACAGGAGTGGCAGCAGTGCGCTGCTGCATGATCAACTATCGGTGTTCGCCACTGATATTGACAGCGACAACAAGTGTCGAGCGCGCTACCTTGCACAATGTAGTGTACGGTGTCATACCCTGTTGTCGCCAAGGCTAGTGATGGTCGACTAACTCTTCCGGATCTCATTTTTCGACCCAAAAATTATGTTGTTTTTTTCAAATCAAATTTGGAACAAGAAAATCAACATTTAAGGCTAGAAAAAAAAATAAGAATCAACCATTGATTGTTCCCAAGATTCAAAAAACAACTTCTAACAAACATAAAGTCGACTATGTTACCCTTGTTGGGAAGTTACATATTCATGCACAATAGAGTTTTAAAAAAAAAATTCAATTCCCTTCAAGGATCATCGTTGTGTTTAAATAGAAATCATGATGAGAATTATACCTTTATCAAAGTTTTCAAACTCTTTTGAAAATTTTGATCACAAACAATCACGATTTTTGTTCTTCTTCTGAATCTTGATTTACCAAATTTTTTTCATACCTTTATAAATCACGAACTTTCAACACACAGCTATTCAATTGTTCAGCCTCCAATAGTAATCCACATAGTATAACAAGAATGAGAGATTAGAGTATCTCTTTCTTGCGTTACAAGATTATAAAAGCATAATGTGAATTATGATATGTTGTAATTATAATCTGAAGTGAGTTATATCAACTATGAAATACTCAAGTCCTATTTATTTATTTATTTATTTATAGATGTTTAAGTGGGATTGACCTACCTACTAAACATAAGTCAGGCCATAGTCAATTAATCCAATTAATTAAACTTGGTCCATAAGTTAATTAATATAAATACCACTTCACTCTACATTCAATACAACACTTTTAAGAACATTTATCTGAGATTTTTTTTAGCAAAACTACATTGGTTCGTCTTTATCAAATTATTTATCTTGAAAAACTTTTGAAAATTATTTTACTTATCAAAGTTTTTCTCACCTAATACTTGAACTTCATTCATTACTATTTATTAAAATGATAGCATATTTCTCTCTGGTACTTAATTTGATCATATTATTGATTAAGAGAGAAGTTTCAAATGTAAAATCACTTTTCTATTAAATTTGTGGGCCGTGTTGAGTCCTGTAAAACTCAACGTTATATAAGGATCGGTGCTCCTTATTTGTAAGTCACCGGAAGCGTTATAAATCATTGGATTGCACCATAAGTTAATCGATATAGTGAAAAGGCCTTGCTCGTACTGGAGAGTTTGGTAACGGGGGACGTAGATTAATTTTTTGGATCAAACCTCCATAATTATATCATTTGCATCCTCTCTCTCTTTTACTTATTGTATTTACTATTTGAATTTATCTATTTGGTCCTTACTTACTCGTATTTATATTATTTTTACAAAAAAGTTTTTAATAACCAATTCACGCCCCTCTTGGTTAGCCATTCTTAGTCCTTCAATTGCTCATTTTATAAATTAAGATTCTACAATTTTGAGCAATGGCTAACTACAACCTTCAAAATCTTGAGGAGCATTCTACAAATCAACCACCATTCTTTGATAGCACGCATTATAATTATTGGAAGGTTAGGATAATGATATACATTCAATCAATGGATTATAATATTTGTGAAGTTATTGAATATGGTCTTTATGCCTTCCAAGACTATTAAAATTGATGGCCAACCCGATAAAATCATTCCAAAATCTAGGGAAGAAAATGATGAAGATGATAAAAGAAAATTATCATTGAATGCTAAAACCAAAAATCTACTTTATTGCTCCTTAGATAAAAATGAGTTTAATTGTATTAGCACGTATGATTTTGCCTATGACATTTGACATGCATTGGAAGTTTCTCATGTTGGTACTAGTAAATTAAAGAAAACTAAAATTAATCTCTTGTTTAAAGAATTTGAAAATTTTTTCATGAAACAAGATGAACTCATTGTTAACGTGATTACTCACTTCACCGATATTGTTAATGATCTCAAAAGGTTTAATAAAAAATTTACTAACGGTGAATTTTTAAGTAAATGCTTAGGTCACTATTGGAAAAATGGAGCCCATTAAGGATGTTGATAGAAAATATCAAAGATATCAACTCATATCCTTTTGTAAGAACTTTATGGTACCTTGATGACATATGAGCTCAACAATGCCGAGACCAAGAAGAAAATGAGAAAAAGCAAAGAGGAATCAAATGAGCCTCCCAAGTGCCAAATTGCTCTTAAATAGGCAATCGAGAAAGGAACTACAAGTGAAAATATGAGTAATGAAGAGTTCAATAATCTAGTCATTCTTGTTAAAAAATGGAGATGATTTCGAAACAATCATAGATTCCAAAAGAAAGATGAAAATGGTGAAAAAAAGGAGCAAAAAATCATTTGCTATGATTGTGACAAACCCGGTTACAAGAGAACCGAATGCCAAAACAAGCTTGAGAATTTGAAAAACTTGTTCTAAGTCACTCTATTTTTAAAAAGAAACACTATTTGTTGAAAGGTGAAATGGAGAAAATTTTAGAACATAAAAGGAAAATGTTGATCATGATTTATTGATTAAAGAAAATTCTTCTTTGAAAGAAAAAGTTGAAGACTTAACTAAAATTATTTATAAATTCACTAAAGGTAAGAAAAATTTTAATTTAATGTTTGGTGATCAAAAGAATGTATTTGATAAAGTAGGAATTTGATATGAACCATCTTTAAAACAAAAATGTTTCAACAATCTATTTGTCAAAATTTCAAACATTCCTTCAAAAATTACATGTAGTTATTGCAATAAAAATGGACATATTGCATATAATTGTCTAACCAAAACTAAACTACACTTTGAAAGTAAAAAAAAGTGGATTCGAGAATCCACTAAAATTAACTACCAAGGGCCCAAACTTATATGGGTACCACAGATCAAAAATTAAATTATTTTTGTAGGAACCAAAGAAGATGAAGAGCAAATGGTTATTGGATAGCGGATGCTTAAAACATATGATCGAGAATAGAACGTTACTATCAAACTTCAAAGTAAAGGATGGAGGTCATGTCACATACGGAGATAATGCAAAAAGAAAAAATATTGGAATAGGAAACATTGATAATCATTCTCCTCCTTCTATTGAAAACGTGTTATTGATAGATAACGTCAAACATTATTTGTTTAGTATTATTCAATTATGTGATAAAGGCTATCATATTAAATTCGATTCTTCTAAATGTATTATTCAAGATGCTACATCAAAAGAGGTAATGCTTATAGGGAGATGTAGCAAGGATGTGTATATTATAAATATCGAATTTGAAAGTGATGAAAAATGTTTATCAAGTTTAAATGAGGATACTTGGTTATGGCATAAGATATTAGACCATGTTAGCATGGAACTTCTTTCAAAAATTTTCAAAAATTATTTTGTGAAAGGTTTACCAAATTTAAAGTTTGATAAAGATAAAATTTGTGATACTTGTCAATTTGGTAAACAAGTAAAAAGTTCCTTCAAACCAAAACTATATTATTCGACCACAAAACCACTTCAACTACTCCACATAGATCTTTTTGGACTTTCTAGAACTGCTAGTTTGGGTGGGAAACATTATGCCTTCGTCATTGTCAATGACTTCTCTAGATTCACTTGGGTTCTTTTCCTAAACCTCAAGAACGAAGCCTTGAATGCTTTCAAACATTTTTGCAAAAATTCAAAATGGCAAAAGGATACTCGATTACAACTATTAGAAGTGATCATGGTGGAGAATTTGATAATCTTGTTTTTGACAAATTTTGCAATAAAAATGGATATGAACTAACTTCTCGACTCCTAGAACTCTTCAACAAAATGGTGTAGTAAAAAGGAAGAATCTCACATTGTAAGAAATGGTTAGGACCATGCCAAATGAAAATAGTATGCCAAAATATTTTTTGGGTCGAAGCCGTCAACACCGCTTGCTATATTGTAAATAAAGTTTTAGTTAGTCGAAAGAAAACTAAAACCTCACATGAGTTTTGGAAAAATATGATTCCAAATACCGGCTATTTTAAAGTTTTTGGATGTAAATGCTTTATTTTAAATACAAAAGAAAATTTGAGAAAATTTAATTCAAAATTCAATATTGGGATCTTATTAGGTTACTCATCGACTATTAAAACTTATAGAGTTTTTAACAAAAGAACTCTAGTCGTTGAAGAATCTATGCGTGTTATTTTTTATGAAACTAATCATCCTGATCGTGAGAAAGGTATTGCTAATGATATAGGATTGGAGACTCCCTTCGTACAAATGAACATTCAAGACCGAAGCAAGGATAATCCAAAAGAAGAACACAAGGAAGAAGTAAACGTTCAACCAAGTGAAGATGAACCCACCGAAGCGTCAAATGATCCCACTCTACCAAAAGAATGGAAGGTTTGTTCCCTCTCACCCAAAAAAAAAACTTATTATTGGTGATCCATCCAAAGGTATTACAACTAGAGCTTCTATTAGGAATCACCTAATTTTCCCAAGATGATTCGAGAATCGTGTCAATCAAATACTTAAAGCGCCCTTATATTAGGAAACAAAAAATTAAATTTTAGACCTGGTTGGACATGATCACATCAAGGCACCCAACAAGTAGATAGAGGCAAATAGGTCCTTCTCGTGCCCATATTCCTTCTAAGGCGGCCACCCAATTATCTCAAACTTCAAGTTTAGACTATCGGACTTCAAACACGTAACTTTTGACCCATAACTTTAAATTGCAGTACTTTTTTTGCGTTGAACTTCAAATTCAATTACCTTTGATGTTTACATATTATTTACCATGTAGAGATCTATATTACGTGTACCAAAATTTTACACTAATTTCCTCACATGCTCAGTAGGTAGGTTCCCCATTTTGCCCCTTTTGGCCCCTTTTATGCACAAACTTCTTTCCTTAGCATCAATCGTCTTCAAATTTGGCATTTAACCTACTAATACAAATCCACCCTAATAATCCAATATTATATGGATTTGAGAGTTTAGGTAAGCAATTAAAATATACATATCATCCGCTGTCGAATTAAATTACACCATGAGTTTACACTAGAAATATACAAAAGCACATTCGATTTATTTTCCATGAAAAACAACCAAGTGTATTTTGTAAAAATGGTCAACAAAATGACATAATAAGAAAGTAAATTGATTG